TATGTTAAAAGATTAATATATTAATAAGAAATCATTTGTTTAATTAGTTGTTAGCCAGAAATTAATTAGAATTAATTTCGGGGTTAAAATAATTAATTATAAGGTGCAGGGACTAGTTTGCAATTATCTAATAGTTGAGTGGAAGGCTCTAGAACCCCCTTAGATAAGGGTGGACGAAATCTTTAGGGGAAACCCTAATAATTTCGTCCATAGGGGCTTGGATAAGGCCCTTGGGTTTGCTTAGGCCCTAAGCAAAGGATAACTAGGGTTTCCCCTAAACCCTAGATCCCTCAGCTATATAAGGAGCCTCCTGGTTCATGTTTTGGTCACTCTTTTCTTTGGAAGAAACCCTAAGGGCCGAAATTTTGCATACTCCCTCTTCCCTCTCTCCTCTAATTTCCTTCTTGCTAGTTTGGGTGTGATTCCATTAGAGGCATTACACTTGTGGTGCTAAGCTTCCAAGAAGATTAAGATCAAGATCAAGGGAATCATCAATTGTTTACTATAACAATTGAAAGGTATGTAATTACTAAACCCTAGTTTGTAGATTTCGATTATAGCCTCTCTCCTCTAGGGTTCTTGTTTTGCAATTCAAAGTTGTATGTTCAATAGATAAAACATAGATCCAAAGTAGGTTGCATGTGAACTTAGGAATTGTTTTCTAGTTTATTTGTTTTACCTAAAACCCATCAACAGCGGGGTCTAGACAAAAGTTCTTGGCCTTTCTAAAGGCCTCCGATTACAGAACAATTTAAAGAAAATAATACTTTTATCCGAAGTCCTAATTTATAACAAAATTTTGAGAGTCGGGCAAGTACTACTTGCGGCGCGCTTTGCGTTTGGAGCTCGACTCCGTGTCGGACTGCTTCGACTCCATGAGGCGTCTATCAAACGCAGCTTGTTGTTCTCTTAATTCTGCGAAGGCCGCATTTGCTTGTGCTTGAAATGCTTCGGCGCGAATGTGGATGTCGTTCTGCAACAATTCTAGGCGGTTGATATCGGCCGTGTGGATTTGTACTTCCACATTGACCTCTCGGATTCGGTTGGCTTGCACTCCGGATTGATAGCACTGGTTGGCAAGTTTGCCAACCATGACCGGAAGTGCTCGGTCGGCTAATCCCCCGCCTCTCACATCATAGAAGTCTCGGCACATGCCGTAGGGAGGGCGTAAGCTTTGTTGTTGGCTCCAATGATGGAGGTGACTTCCCCACACTGGAGTGGGTCCTTGGAAATTCCTCACGTGGACGGGAGATTGTGGGATTGGTGGATTTATAATTTCTGGCTCCGAATCCGTGCCAGAGTCATCCCCTCCCTCCAACTCTATAGGCTCTTCGTCTTCTTCAGGATCTTCTTCGATCCACCCTCCATTACCTTGGTTGGGGTAGTAGGGGTCATTGGGGTGATGGAATCCCGCCATTTAGACTGTACGAGAATAGAGTTAAAAGTTTACTATAAGCTAGAGCACATGAAACTTACCCTTAAGTTTAATGGTTGACGGCACTCGAATACTCCCTCAGTATTCTTTAGCGATATGCTTTTGGTAAGTTTTAAATTTGTTGTCCATTGCAGACACTCCTTGGCATACGTTAGTCGGCTCTTGGACAAATATAGTTGATCAGGCTATATTCTTCCCAGTTCCGATTACATGTCCCAAGGCGTACCTGTACTGCACAACTTATTTATAATACTTCTAAAGTTATTTACTATGAAACTGTTATTAGTATAAATGAGTGCATGCTTACCTTAAAACTAATTAGGTTTACTTTCAAAAGTATGAATTTTTCTCAGAGTGTTTTTGCCCAGTTGAGTTTATAGTTGTATATCAAAAAGGAATGGTTTTGATATACTTAATTCCCTATAAACAAAGCTCTGATACCAATCTGTCACACCCCCAAACCAGAACGGCGGAAACGTTCGGGGGCGGAGGACGTCATATTCAGTATCATAACAGTTCATAGAAAGGAAAGTACACACCACCATATATATTAAAGTTTCCAAGATGTTTACATAATTGTATTCATTACATGTTCAAAAGATAAATACATAAACATCATTCAAAAGAAGTAATTAACGCCAGCGCGTTAATCCCAAAAGTTGATTCCCAAACCTGCTTAGCGGTTCCCTGAGAATACAAGTTATTTCAAAGAAAAAGTGTCAACAATTAAGTTGGTGAGTTCATAAGTAGTTTAGAAAAATTGGATGCCATTCCAAAATGGGTGTATATTTTCCAGAAAACGCAGCATTTCAAATGTAAAGAGTTGTGATTTGTTTTGTTGAAAGTGAATGTATTAATCCAGAAAATCCCATATTTTCCCTAATGGTTGAGATACGAGTTGTTGTGTTTCCAAGAAAAACCCTTATTTTCTTATAAAAGTATGAAATGCATATGAATGTTCGTGTTATAAGTTGTAAATAATTGCACCAGGAAAATCCCTTATTTTCCTAACATAAATGGCAGTCTCTAAGACCAAAACTTTGCAAGAAACCGACGTTCAAAAGTTGTGTCATAGTTTTATATAATAAAGCTATACGAAGATCGCATTTGTTAGATGAAGAATAGTTTTAATAGCTACTCGTTCATAAAAGCATAATACCATAATAATTGTATATCCGATGAGTTTTATAACCATACTAAACATAATATGCCTGTAACGACGTTCTTCAGGCGTCGCAGCGTTATGACAACTGTCACCCCAAAAGACGGACTGTAGCTAACAGTCAGGGCGCGGGATCATGACTTCCCGTATAGATCTATACACATTTGACACGTTCTCCGAACGGGAGACTCTGGTTATAGACAGGACTTGCAGCATTACTTTCTAATAAAGAAAAGTAACGTTTGAAGATATACACGTCTCATGGATTCTCAACTAAGCCTGTATTAAAGTGATAGTTTTGTATGCAAAGTTTATCCTTTTTCACAATGTTTGACAAAGCAAAATCATAAGTTTTTAGAATGTATAAAACGACTTAACAATGAAAGGTACTTTGAAATCATTATATACTTTGTATAAGTCTAATGCACACAAAGTATGACAAGAGTTTTCCATAATAGTAATAAGTTCCAAGTGATTTATTCGATAAAACAAGTGAAGTGAAACTTTATAAAATACACGATAATAACCGTATGTTTACTTGTATTCCCCCCTAAAAGAGTATAAAAGCATTTAAAATGTATTTAAAGTGTGTTTGAAAGGGGTATGAACTCACTTGAAAGTTTGAAGATAGCAAGATGGAAAACCGGGCAGAGTTTCGTCTCGGGAAATGGATTTTCCTCGGAAATCTCGGGATTCCTCGGGAGTAAAATCGACCTTCGGGACTTGCACAAAATGACCAGGGCTTCGGGGTAGTGCGAGCACGGAAAACGAGGTAAAACGCAAGAAAAAGGAGAGAGAATGGGCCATTTTCCCGGGAACCCTCGCATGCTATTTATAGGGGGCTTGAGAGGCCTCGTACGCGGGGCGTACGCTCGTACGCAGCGCGTACGCGTACATCATGCATGACCGAAGCCTTGACTGCCTCGGCCTCGGATGGGACGGCTCAGGCTGTCGGGTCGGATGGGACGGCGGGTCGGACGGGTGGGTCGGATGCCTCGCATAGGGCGACGTGGACGGTTTGAGGCCAAGTTCCTCGGTTACGCGGGGCGTACAGGGGTACGCAGCGCGTACCTCGGATGAGGACGCTGACTCCCCTTCGGATAATACCGAAGTTTTAATAAAAATTATATATAAATTATTTATCAAACTTCGAAAATTCATATCTCCTTCATAC